TCTATTATTGCTGTGGGGGATCTAGTGTTACTGTGGGGATGTGTTGTTGCTTGAGGGGATATATAGTGGCTTGGGTCTTTTATTGCTGTGGGGGTCTGTTGTCCTAGCTAGGATCTAGCTATTGTTGCTGGGGGATCTCTGTTGTTGCCGGGAAGATCTTTTTTTTTTGCTGGAGTGGGCCCTATTGTTGCTGTGGGATCTCATGATGCTTTGGGGATGTTTTCTTGTGGGGGGGTCTGTTATTTCTGTGGGGTCTATTGGTGCGGGCTTCAGGGGATATAATTTATTTTCTTTCTTCTGTATTCTCTAAAAGGGGAAGTACTGGGAGGGGGCAGAGACAAGAGATGGTGCTCTGAAGAGGGTAGGGGTCGGGGAAAAGGGTGAATCGGGAGGAAGATTCCTGCACCCCTTTCTTAAAGAAAAAAGCCCTTAGGTAATATATTAAATAACATATGATGAAATTTAGTTCAGCCGGACATTCATGCAGCAAATGTTTTGTACCTAGACCTCTTATTATAACTGTCAGCTGAGAACATTTTAGACCAAACTGCCTGTGGTTATTATATCTGCCGATTCTGTGATACTTCTTTTTGTATAACAACAATCCATAAATCAAAGCTTGAAAAAATAACGTGCATCTATGACAGCTTTTACAATGGCAACCTATTTAACTGTCTTCTTACTGAAAAAAATGCAAAAAGTGTCATAATGATGATCATCCACTAGGTGGTAATATTACACCAGATGTTAAAGCTCAGCTATCAAGTATTTAAATGTCCCCCTATAACCACCATGCATACAAAAATAATATAAAGAATCACAGTGTGGGAATTTGCTGTCCTTGCGGTGATATGGGGAACCCTTGCGTAGGTTTTAATAATATATAAAAACTGTTGTCTTCTTTAAAAATTATTTATAGCAAAATACAAATGGGAGCATTAAGCACACAATGAAACAGCTTCAATTACAGCAGCTGCTTATGGAAGAACATATCAGACACAAAATTGTTGGTACAAATCATTGTTAGCATTGATGAAGAATAATGGAGGACCATGAACCAGGACTTCACCAAGATCAAATACCTTCAACCCTTTGCCCCCCCCCCCCCCAGCATCCTGGGGGTGGGTGGGAAAAATTGGTACATCAAATGACCACTGTGATTGGCTGTCATTATTGTACATTATTAGATCACTGGGCGCCTTTTTTCAACTTTCTCGCTACCTCTGCTTGCGGGGTTGATGCTGAGTGATTGAGCATTTATGTTATCTGCAGGGTGGAGTGCCTCCACGTTGTCTTTCCCACCATTCAGCTTAGAGCAGTGGTTCTCAACCTTCCTAATGCCGTGACCCTTTAATACAGTTCCTCATGTTGTGGTGACCCCCAACCATAAAATTATTTACCCAGTAATTATAATTCATGAGTGTCGTTTTACCTCCAATACTGCTGCTTTCAACACAGTAGCTGCTTTTAACAGAGTAGCTGCTTCAACACAGTAGCTGCTCTTTACACATCGGAAATATGTGTTTTCTGATGGTCTTAGGGGACCCCTGTGAAAGGGTCGTTCGACCCCAAAGGGTCGCGACCCACAGGTTGAGAACCACTGGCTTAGAGGAAGAATTGGCCCACTGATGCTTTGGCTTGGAAGAGCCATGTGGAACTCCATGATTGCCTCCAGGGAGATCAGAAATTAATTTTTTCCCAGGTGGGGGGGTAAAGTCAAGTGTGGATCAAGTGTGGGTATAGTTTTTTTTTATTGGTTGGACTAAATGGACTTGTGTATTTTTTCAGTCTGACCCACTATGTATCTCTGACCCCAAGTCCGTTGTTACTGCTGACCCACAGACACTTGGGAAAAGTACCAGGTTGCTCCATTTACACTCTGCTAATGGCTGTGATTTTGCTTGCCATGTGCCCTCTGATAGTGCCGAGCGGCTGCCCTGCTGCATTCCGAACACAGGAGATTGCCCAATCAGCATGGGCACCAGTCAGAGAATGCTTTTCATTCAATAATGAATGCAAAGTGTTCTCTGAATGAAGAGCAGAAACAGAGTGGCGTGGCTACAAGGATATGGATATTCCATACCTTGAATTCTTCTTTAACAAGTGAACCTGCCTCTGTGGAGTCTCAGTCTACTGCTATCACTCCCAAAATGAAAGAGACCATTCCAGCTCTTATTGGAGGTGATATGCCGCACCCTAAAATGTTGATAGGGTCCTTTCACATGGGCATTCCGTTTTTTTTTGTTAGTTCAGTCACATTTTTTCAAAGAAAAAACAGGTGCGTTTACATCCGTTTTTTCATCCGTTTACATCTGTTTTTTTTGTCATCAGCTGTCAGCGGGTTTCCCCACTGACAGCTGAATGTAAAAAAAAAAAATTGCCGGCAATTAAAAAATGGCGTGGGGTCCACCCCCCTCCATCCATACCAAGCCCTTTGGATCTGGTTTGGATTTTGAGGAGAACCGCCACAACCAAAATTAAAAAAAAAAAAAAGGTGTGGGGTTCCCCCCAAAATCCGCTTATCCAAGCATGCAGCCCTGCAGGTCAGGAAAGTGGGGGGATGAGCAAGTTCCCCCCCTCCTGAACCATACCAGGCCACATGGGAGGGTGCTTTGGGATGGGGGGCTCTCACCTCAAAGCACCTTGCCCCCATGTTGATGGGGACAACGAACTCTTCCCCACAACCCTGGGCTGTGGTTGTTGGGGTCTGCGGGCGGGAGGCTTATCGGAATCTGGAAGCCCCCTTTAGCAAGGGGTCCCCCAGATCCCGCCCCCCATGTGAATGAATATGAGGTACATGGTACCATTACTTATTTACAAAAAAAATATAGTGTGAAAAAAGACGGGAGACAGTCATTGACAAGTCCTTTATTAAAAGAAGAAAAATAAAAGAATGTCCCCTGCAGTAGATCCAACGTTAATCACGCTGCCTGCTCCAGCACGAAAAAAAAAAAGGCTCTTCTCCCTACGCTGGCTCCTGGATGACTGACTGCTCCGCTGGTTTGACAGTTCTTAAATATGTAAGGGGCAGGGCCATCATGTGTGTGCCCCCGCCCCCATCTGACATCAATGACCCAGCATGCCCTGGATGATGATGTCATATGGGGCGGGGTCACACGGGTGATGTCAGTGGGTGGCCCTGCCCCTTACATATTTAAGAACTGTCAAACCAGCGGAACAGTCAGATGGCGGGAGCCAGTGTCGGGAGCGGATACTTTGTTTTTTTTTTTTTCTTTTATCAGGGCAGCGGCCATCATGATTGACGTTGGATCTACTTTGGGGGACATTCTTTTATTTTCCTTCTTTTAATAAAGGACTTGTCAAAGACCGTCTCCTGTCTTTTTTCACACTACACTTTTTTTTGTGAATGAGTAGCGGTACCATGCACCCCATGCTCATTCACATGGGAGGGGGCCCCCGTTTTTTGTCCGTTCTGGGTTTTTTTACGGAAGAAAAATAGGGTTTTCTTCTGTTCAAAAAAATGGATGTTAATGGATATGAACATTAACGGATGTAAAAAGATGTTCATCCCGTTTACATCCGCAAGTCCATAGAAATACATGGGGGTCCGTTTTTCATCTGTAAATGGACAGATGAAAAACAGACATACAGAACGCCCGTGTGAAAGGGGCCTAACTTTGTATCAGTCTGTGTATCTAGGTATCTGTGTGCTACCGGGGGGGAAGAGAAAGCTGCTTCTCTTTCTTTCCTCTCTTTCTTTCCTTCTCTCTCTTTCTCTCTCCTCTTTCTTTTTCTCCCTTTATCTTTTTTTCTCTCTCTCTCTATTTTTTCTCTCTCACACTGGTTTTCTCTCTTCAGCCAGTACACAGGAATGATGGCAAGCTGGAGAATTATAGGTGTATGGAGGCTGAAAGTGTGGAGGGGAAGCTGTCAGGCAGGCCATATGGGTCCCATGGTTTCCAATGGATGGCAGCCCTGCATCCAGGCATACCAGCGTGACATCAGAGGAGTGAAAAGAAGTCTAGCTCGAATTTTCCATTTGACAGATTTCATACCCAACGAAGTACAATGTTCTTGATTAAAATTACATTCTATAACTTTTGTTGCCTTTATTGGTGCAGTTGAATGTCTCCTTAGAGCTTCCCATAAGCTTGCAGGTGCTCATAATTACCGCAAAGGCAAGAATTAAAGCACATTTTTAGAACCTGCCCCTCTACTTTAAGATTCTAAGACGGGAGGCTCAGCTGCACCTGCCACATAAACCCCAATCTTGTATTTTTTTAATTCTTTAGAAAGTGAAAACTAACAGATTGGGCATAGAAAAAAAAAGTGCCTGCAAAGCTGGTTTCACTTTAGAAATGTCTGTACTTTAAAGCCACTAATTACACAGTTAGAATATATAGGTGTATATATAGTATATGTATTTGAAATTGGAATATACTGTATATATGTATATACAAACTACGTATTTGAAATGCCTTACCTTTGCAAGAAACTGTTGTCAGTTAGGCGCCTATAATAAAGTGTCCTCAATTTGATTTTTTCTAGTTCTTCTACATGGCATGGCCACTGACCCAACTTACAGGCTGGTTGGGCAATGATGGAACATCATCAAACTAATGAAGTCATCACTCTGTTCACTCAGCTGTCTCCTTCCATCAACAAACTGGTTTACAGTACTAACCAGCAGTGTTTTCCTCTTTCAGGGCAAGAAATAGTCAAATAGAACAATGATCTGTTGTTGTAGAAGGAGGAAAGGCAGAGCTGGATCAACTTTCATTTGCTCCAAGATGGCTTTCGAAGGCCACTAGAAATTCTGATGCCATTGGGATTTCCCATGCAAACATAGTACATAAGCATTATTTCCAACAATAGTGCAGCGCTCTAACCCTACCGTAATCCTCCCAAAAGTATACGTATGAATAATATACCAACCTACATATATACAAAAATGTGTATCAAGTGCTCTAATAGACAAGTGACCTATAGTCACCCTTGTACCCTAAAACCAGTGTATTGACCAGGGGCGGACTGACAACTCATGGGGCCCCCGGGCAATAGGGGATCATGGGGCCCCTGTGTGCTTGCCCAAACTCAAAAAAGCCTATGAAAAAGGTGCCAGGGGCCCCCTACTGACCCCGGGCCCTCGGGCGGTGCCCGAGTTTCCAAATGGTCAGTCCGCCCCTGGTATTGACATAATGTCATAAATATTTTCATAGTAGGTGATAACTCATATACACATAGACCAAAACAAGACCCCTAAGCCAGGGGATATATATTAAGTGTGACAAAGTGACAAAATGTGATCACACAAAAAACTTAAAACTCCAAACAGATGTAATTGTCCATTAACAAGTGATTCAAACAACACAAAAACCATGCAATGTGGTATAGTGATGGTATCGGTGAAAGTGTCAGCACACTTTAATCCTCAAAGGCTAGATTGCCTCCTCACCTCCCTTAGGCGACCCACCGGGCCACTTCACTTTCAGGATCTCCACTGGATGCTACTCCAACTGTGGCAGGTGGTTATAGCACCTGTAGTTCCTCTCCCACTTACTCCATAGGATATTCCAGGCCTTACAGGAAGGGTAAATCTGTCAAGCATATCTCTCACCACATAGTGTAAGAGAAAAAAGATCCTCCATAGTGTATTATATAAAGTATAATCCTTTATTCCAACAATAAAAAATGCCCACTCAATTTTGCAGAGAACCAAACTCTGCAGTATTCTTCAATGCAGCACTGACTTTGCTCAGCTGATTATAATGAAAGCAGACCCTCCCATTGAGATACCAGAGTGAGAAACAAACATTGTCTTCAAAATATGGAAAGTGCACCATCATCTATACACAGTTTATATTGTGGATCCTGAGGAAGCAAAGTAATCAAGAAATGCGGGATAGATTACAAGCTCTGTATTTGAATTATCGTACTTTGTGGAATGATGTGTCTGATAATGAGGTCCTGAGATCACAGCATTGTCCTTAGTTTCATATCTTAAGCACCGGGGGTGGGGCGAAACATGGAGTCGTGGTCTGGACAGGGGCGGACTGACAACTCATGGGGCCCCAGGGCAATAGGGTATCATGGGGCCCCTGTGTCCTTGCCCAAACTCAAAAAAATCCTATGAAAAAGGTACCAGGGGCATCTCATGGGGCCCCCTACTGACCCCGGGCCCTCGGGGAGTGCCTGAGTTTCCAAATGGTCAGTCCGCCCCTGGGTCTGGATGAATCAAGCTGAGATTGATTTTACCTGTTAACCACACGAGCCAAGTGAGGTAAAGGGGGAGCATATTTCAGCTTCTGGAGCGCGGTGACACACTTCCGGCGTCGGACGCCATCTTGGTGCACCCAGAAAATCCCCTATTCATGCAGTACACACTAGCATGAGGAATTTGCTGTTTTACTCTGGCTAAAAAGTGAGTGGGCATATTTTATTGTTGGAATAAAGGATTATACTTTATATATACTACACACCCTATGGAGGATCTTTTTTCTGGAGAGGAACTACAGGTCCTAAAATCACCTGCTATGGTTGGAGTAGCATCCAGTGGAGATCCTGAAAGTGAAGTGGCCCGGTGGGTTGCCTAAGGGAGGTGAGGAGGCAATCTAGCGGTTTAGGATTAAAGTGTGCTGACACTTTCACCGATACCATCACTATACCACGTTGCATGGTTTTTGTGTTGTTTGAAGCACTTGTTAATGGACAATTACATCTGTTTGGAGTTTTAAGTTTTTTGTGTGATCACATTTTGTCAATTTGTCACACTTAATATATCCCCTGGCTTAGGGGTCTTGTTTTGGTCTATGTGTATATGAGTTATCACCTACTATGAAAATATTTATGACATTATGTCAATACACTGGTTTTAGGACAAAAGGGTGACTATAGGTCACTTGTCTATTAGAGCACTTGATACACATTTTTGTATATATATAGGTTGGTATATTATTCATAAGTATATTTTTGGGAGGATTATGGTAGGGTTAGAGCGCTGCACTATTGTTGGAAATATTGCTTTACACTGTTAAGATATCAGGTCTGAGTGTTGGCTGCTATACTGTAGGCCACTTCCATAAGCGCAGGAGGATTCCCATTTGTATTTCTGAGTATTAGTACATAAGCATTGAGGTTACATTCTACTACATGTGTCTTTGTTGTTGTAGGATCAGAAGTAGACAGAATTCAGTCGTTATTCTGAGATTTGGATTTATCCAAATTTCCAAATTACAATAGTAATGAATTGAAATGAATCTGAAATTACAAAACAAAATTTCGTCTGAAACAAAATCAACTTCTAAAACAAGAATAGAATAAAATAGAATAGAAAATAAAGCAATAGAACAGAAAATAATAGATTAGAATAGAAAATAATAGAATAGAAAATAAAAGAATAGTATTAAATAGAATAGAAAATAAAGGAATATGATAGAAAAGAATAGAATAGAAAAGAATAGAACAAAATAGAAAAGAATAGAAAAGAAAATAATAGAATAGGGCAGAGATGGATTCTGGATTACGAGTTGTTTAAGTGATATGAAGTGCCTGATTGTCATCTTTTCATTGTAAGTGCATTTACCACATTAAATTGGTGTTTTAATCTGGATTACACTAAGCCTGTCTTTTTCTTTTTCATGATACTATGTCCAACTGAGTATATATGCACAGTGATCTGATATAACACAGCAGTATCATCATTTGACATGTGGTTTTGAGGAAAGCTGGATATCTTGGATTTATACATAAGTGCCGGTTGACCACTCTTAACTCATATGATTCTGGTAAGCCTTCCTTTGTTGTACACCAAGGTGCTGTGTGGTTCATCATTTAGAAGTTTTGGTGGCGTTTGGTATCCACATCTGTCATTTCCCTCATAATCGTTGAACCACTGAATTCGCCATTTTTGGCTTCTCATTTGGATTCCTTAATTTTTTCAATTTGTGGTGACACATAAGAGTTTGATATATTTTCATTGCACATACATTTTAATTTACCTTAGCGCTGCACTATTGTTTTGTGAACAGAATAGAAAAGAATAGAGTAAAACAGAACACAATAGAAAATAAAAGGATAGAATAAAATAGAATAGAAAAAAAGAAATAGAATATAAAAGGAATAGAATAGAAAATTAAAGAATAGAATAGATTAAAGACTAGAATAGAAAAGTATAGAGTAAAACAGAACAGAATAGATTAGAAAAGAATCAAATAGAAAATAATCTAATAGAAAAGAATATAGTAAAACAAAACAGCACAGAATATAATTGACTATAAAAGAATAGAGTAAACTAGAATAGAAAATAAGGGCATAGAAAAAAATAGAACAGAAAAAATAAAATATATTAGAATAGAATCAAATATAATATAGCCGCCTTCCAAAATTTGAATTTTAAAAATAATAAAACAGAACAGAATAGAATAGAAAAGAAACGAAAATAATAAAATAGAATAGAAAAAAAAAAAGGAATGGAATAGAAACAAATAGAATAGATTAGTATAGAAAAGGAAAGGAAAGGATAAAATAAAAAGACTATAAATACCATCTTCCGAAATTCAAATTTCGAATGAAATAAAATAAATAGGAATGCTGATTTCATACTTTTCAAATTCGATTTGAATTTTCTGAATTCAATCAAATTGAATGGAAAATTTTAATCGAAATTAGAAACTAATATATGAAAAAAACATATTCCGAAAACTAATTTAAGGATTTAACAAAAAAAAAAAAAAATTTAAATATTGAAACAAAACTAAACACATTTTTTTTGTTCAGCACGTATCTAATCAGAAGTCTCAGGAACCGATCAGTTCAACTTCTAGGTTCAGTGTTTCCCACTGGCTGTCATTGACAACTGACAGTCCCAACATTGATACCACCAGGACCACAGCTACACAAAGCTATCACCATTTTAAAATGGGCCTATGGCTCAGAAAAGCTTTTACACTTCTGTTTTAGAATGGCAATGTCAATCTTTTTATAAATTGATAAATAAGAATGCGATTGATCTTTGTTTTGCCACTTAGCATTGAACATTTAGTACCAGCGAGGTTAGGAGGACAAAGATATTGGTGTATGGACTAGTACTGGACTCATTCTTCAGGGTGTGCCAGGTGACCTGTACCCAGGGCTTAGCCACTTGCCCTCCAGAGGATTTACCCTCCCCCCTTCCTGACCAGGCCAGCATAAACCCCAGCATAATCATTTAAGAAAAAAGAATAAAAAGCTTCCATTACACATGGTTCTGCACAAACTGTGGAAGAGTGCAGGATTCAGGAGTGCGTTATGTACAGAGTGCAGGATTCAGGAGTGCGTTATGTACAGAGTGCAGGATTCAGGAGTGCGTTATGTACAGAGTGCAGGATTCAGGAGTGTGTTATGTACAGAGTGCAGGATTCAGGAGTGTGTTATGTACAGAGTGCAGGATTCAGGAGTGTGTTATGTACAGAGTGCAGGATTCAGGAGTGCGTTATGTACAGAGTGCAGGCTTCAGGAGTGCGTTATGTACAGAGTGCAGGCTTCAGGAGTGCGTTATGTACAGAGTGCAGGATTCAGGAGTGCGTTATGTACAGAGTGCAGGATTCAGGAGTGCGTTATGTACAGAGTGCAGGATTCAGGAGTGCGTTATGTACAGAGTGCAGGATTCAGGAGTGCGTTATGTACAGAGTGCAGAATTCAGGAGTGCGTTATGTACAGAGTGCAGAATTCAGGAGTGCGTTATGTACAGAGTGTAGGATTCAGGAGTGCGTTATGTACAGAGGGTTCAGGAGTGCGTTATGTACAGAGGGTAGGATTCAGGAGTGCGTTATGTACAGAGGGTAGGATTCAGGAGTGCGTTATGTACAGAGGGTAGGATTCAGGAGTGCGTTATGTACAGAGTGCAGGATTCAGGAGTGCGTTATGTACAGAGTGCAGAATTCAGGAGTGCGTTATGTACAGAGTGCAGGATTCAGGAGTGCGTTATGTACAGAGGGTAGGATTCAGGAGTGCGTTATGTACAGAGTGCAGGATTCAGGAGTGCGTTATGTACAGAGTGCAGGAATTAGGAGTGCGTTATGTAGAGTGCAGGATTCAAGAGTGCGTTATGTACAGAGTGCAGGAATCAGGAGTGCGTTATGTACAGAGTGCAGGAATCAGGAGTGCGTTATGTACAGAGTGCAGGATTCAGGAGTGCGTTATGTACAGAG